CTGGAAAATGAAACGGGTCATCCAGACCGCTAGTACTCACCTAGTAGAGTCCCTAGTACCTATGAGTCGTAGTCTAGTCTAATAGGTAAACTACGGAGTACCTAGACTAAAAAAGTCTCCATACGACAATCGGCTTACTCGCGCCTTTCCACTGTGCTCTCTGCCCTGCTCTTTTCTGTCTCCCCTGCCGTTGTCACTTCTCGGCTGCTTCTCCTTCTTCTTCTTCTTTTCCCCTCCTCTCCTTTTCTTCCTCTTCTTCTTCCTCTTTCCCCTTCTTTCTCCTCTTTCTAATCTCGTTCTTTTCTTTCTTGGCTGGGTGCTTCATGTCGTTCTTTTTCTACATTTAGTTGCCTCCCTTCCCCTCTCCACCCTCACCTCCCTTTTACCCTCTCCCCAAGTACCGTCCTGGGGACTGTACTGCCGTTCTTTTGCTGGTGCTTGGGCACTCGGCTGCCATTCATTACTGGGAGCCTATCTTGGTTCCTGTCCACTCCTTGTTCGAAACCTGTCCTGCGCCACTGTCCTCATTCATTCGGAACCGAATACGGACCATATTTGCTCTACAGTCTCCAAAGCCATCGATCTTCACACCTGTATCCAGGGTATTACGTGGCCAGCGGTCCTATATTGTCGGAAGCCCATGTCCTATCAGATCATCTAGCTGAGGACATCTCTCGCTTTTATCTTACTGCAACGCCAGCACCGCCGCATTCTAGACAACAGCCTCTTGACCTTCAGGGTGTCAATTCTCAGGATCGCCGCCCGCTAGTGTCGGGTTGACCCATGTACCACCAAACTCATCGACATCAGCACAGGGCCTTCCGGGGCACGCATCTTGGGAGAGATGTGTTGTCACTACGGCCGGACATTGTGCCTCGCGATCGTCTTCGCTTCCTTGCTGCTTCTCCCGCACCAACTTTGCTGAGAAGAGACCCTGCACCGTCTGTCGCTACTGCCACTGCGACCTCAACTTGTGGTGGTAACAGCTGTGAAAAAAGCACGAGCACAATGATGACCACAACCTTGCCGGTTGTCCTCGGTGTAGTGTATGTCTTCGATTTATTCTTCTTCCTGACCCGATGCGATGAGGCTAAAACAATGATTCCATTCGGTGTGTCGTACGCTTGGTGCATTTATGGCTAATGGGTGTTCAGGATCCCCGTCGTGTGTGCTATCGCGGTCCTGCTTTACTTCCACCGCAAGAACGTGAAAAAGCTTCGAAACGAGGATGCCAACGACAAGCATAAATCTCTCGATTTCGGCTTAGACCTGACACCCACCGGGACGAAACCCATGCAACAAGCCGAGAAGACTAATGGTGCCCATGCCAAGGGAGTGTCCCTAGACATAGGGCCAAGTCCATACCTCCTCCCGCCTGGACTACACAATTCGCGAGAATCTTTGCAATCCTTATCAAGATCTATGATCGGCGATGACGACAAGTATCGACACGCAACCTCATTTCTTGGGGACAATGCATCCTTGAGATCCCATTCCCGGGGTCCTCAGGACGATGCGTCCAGTTTTGCCGGATCAACTCGAAGGGGACCCCTATGCGACGATATGAACCAAGGACTGCTTCGCAATGCTCAACGAATGTCTCGCTCATCCCCGCCGCTCTACGATCATCCTGAAAGCGACCGTAACGCCGAAAGTCCGTCAAGTCCAATTCAGAATCCACAAGCCCAATTCCATGTAGATCTCTCAAAAGATCCAAATTCTGTTCATGTGTCAGATGTCGCTGTTGAACAACCGGCCTCCAGTAGTGGTCATGTTAAACCCAGTCCATCGATTGGCAGCTCGAATAATGACCCTCCTTCGCTGATCTTGTCCTCCGCGCCTTTGGAGCAGTCACAAGATCCGGAATTGTTTCTGCCTAGCAGTAGTGTTGCCCAGCAAGAAGGGTCGAACTCTGCTCAGGATGCGCCTGCCCCGCTGCACGTTTCAATTCCCATCATAACAACTCCGCACCTTGCGCAGATTACATCGACTCCTACCCCTCGGATATCACTCCCAGTGAGCGATGCGGCTAGTGATTACGGAGACGCAGAGTCCAGTCATGCGATCCCGTCAATCGATGTGCATGGCGTGACAGGATATGGTACTCACAGCAACCCCGAGGATGTGGCTTATTCTTTCCAGGGTCATGACGCGTCGGATCGAGTCCAGAATGCTAGTCTTGACCACCGCCGTGACACGCGCCGGCTGACTTTCGGTCTTCGACCTTTGCCGCCAGAGGACCCTTCTGATAACCCTGAACAGCGTGCCAATCGTATTCGGTCATTCTACAAGGAGTACTTCGATGAAAGTCGTACTGGACGCGACACTTACTACGGAGGAGCTGGCCCTGAAGCCTTTGCTGAGGGCGGGTATGTTTATGATCCTTCCACCGGAGAGCATTTCAGTCCTGTCCCTGCACCATTCGCGGAGCCAGTCACCCGCCGTGCCATGACACCGCCACCCCGTGCACCTCCGCGCTTTCAAGGTGCCGCTCGTCACATGGCCACTGGCTCAGACGGTGGCTTCGGTGATAGATTCAATTCTCCTGGCCTGCGTGCATTTTCATCCGCCTCTGGCCGCTTACCAGGTCCGCCCAAGCCTCGAAAGCCGGCGCCGCCACCATCGCCACTTCAGATCCTCCCAACGCCCCATATGCTGAAAGACGAATCTATAATGACGGCGATTGATTATGCCCCCAGCAAGAACTACAAGGACTTGAGGGAAGGCCGACCAGACACGCCTTTAGGTGGCCTTCAGCCCTTCAGCCCGTTGACCCCAGCGCGTTCTCCTCTCGTCTCAGCCTTTGACGATCTATCGCCCTTACCTAGCGCGTAAGTGTCTATCTCGTTCTGTCGTGCTTCAATGCGGGGATTTATGTGGTACTGATTATGGTCCAGGCACGCTTTGCGAAAGTCTGGTGCTTACGACACTCTGGACTTTGCACCCCCGCCGCGATTCAAGAACACCGATGCCGGCAGCGATGCCGGCAGCATCCGCAGCAACCATACCGGAATCTCGTCAGCCCATCTCCACAATATCCGCAGTGGCGCATATCGCGTCAGCCGCCTACCCCCAGGCACCGTGGGCACCAAGGATGATTTGATATCAAACCTTCGCCCTAAATGGGATATGCAGCAATAGTCGGAGTGCCAACTCATCTGCAACACATCAAATTTTCCCCTCACTGTAATGATCTCCAGGATTTTGCACTCATCTGGGTAACCGCCTACCTTGTCACGACTTATTTCCCGTTTCCTAAAACATCACGGTATCTCTTCGTGAGGGATCCGGGTCAACTTGCGATTTTTGACGTCAGTGGCGTAAAGAATCTATGAAGGAAGCCCTTTTCATTTCAAATTTCGCTTCCCTTGGGCGTTCGGTCTCAATGGCCTTGTTTTATCATCTACTACTTGCACATATGCTGTATCTTAGAAGTGGGTTGCTAACCTGCAGGTATCCAATATAAGTATCTTGACTGGACTGTATTGTCCTCATGACATTGAAGGTCTGAGGTGATTGTCACCCTGAAAGACTTGCATCGATGTGTTGTGAAAATTGGCTGTAGATTACACAATCAGGCCCGCCCGCTGAAGGATAACTATGGGTCTTGATGCTCAAGGGCATGCTTCCGTTGGGGTGACCTCGAGGTAGCTGTGATATATTTCGACGACACTGTCAATCCTAGTCCATACTGAGGGATTCGTGGTTATTCTGAAGTAGAATTGCAGATCTGCTCCCCAGATTGATGATGTATAGTGAAAGGTGGCGTGGTGAAGCAGGCTCGACGGACAGCTTCTGCGTACGAGCTGCTTGCCTCCCCGATCGATAGGGGATATTTCTGTCAAAGTCAAGCCCCATCCCTATTGTAAGTTCTGACCTTATTGATCCATGAATATTCTGCGTATTAGAGGCATTGTGACGGCCAGTCACAGCATCAAGTCAGAGTCTGACTAATGTATTATGCGACGCGAACCATTCTTCGCCGAGAAAAGTTGAAGGGTCACTTACTGCAGATGTAAGTATGAGCACGACTTGTTGGGCCAGCATGTGTGTGAACCACGGAAATGTATACTCGAGACTTGGATCGATGTTAGGGCATGGTATAATTCCAGTGAGAAAGGTAGGGTCAGCATATCTAGGCACAGTAGTCTACAGCAACATAGACAACGGTGGACGATTGAAATGGATCAACAACCACCGTCACAGCATTTACTGATTATATTAAAATTGTCGATGGGCACACAATCATCTACCAACCTTTTGATGAGAATGACAGAATGTACGGTACTGACACCATAGTCTGGTTGCAGGGTGGATCGGATCGGGTCGGGTCTAACTGGTTGACCGTTGACATCAGTGTTGCTATATTTATCAACTTCAACCTATCGGATGTACTGGACATGTACTCATACATACTGTACTGAGAGGTAGTTATATTTTGGTGTGCGTACGCGTTGCCATGTACATACAGACATGATGAACAAAAGACTTCTTGTTCTCGTACAGTACTACAGCAGAGTATGACTATTGTAAATCTCGAATCTCGATTTAGCGCGGGGACAAAAGTTCGACCAATGCAAAGATAAGTAAGTATTCTGGAATCTTACCAATGGTAAGAGAAGAGTGTCAGGTCCGGTACCGGGCACAACGCTGAAGGTACAGTACATATCTACGTAGTAGGTGCCAGTACTCCGTAGTTCGTTCTGGCTACCTGTTACCTCTTACCGTTAGTTACACTATTAATGCACCCGGCAACCTTGACGTGATGGTCTCGAAGGTCATCAATTCATGACACAGACAAAAGAATGTAGCTGAAGGTATCAAACGGTACGGAACCGGTACCTGGCAGGGTGGTCCACGGTCACGGGTGCTGCGCCTGCGCAGGTGCTGATTCCACCTTACCCAAAGTAGTTATGATTGTTATTACTGAGTGGTACGGAGCCGAATTCAGATCTCTTCGCCCGTTCCTGGCTCACCACCCAAGTATTTGGACCTTTTCCATGGGTGTTGTGGTTTTTCGCCGAATTCTCTTCTCTCCTGAATGCCAATGAAGCTGCTGGTTGCAGGACTCTAGACTCCCCGCTTCCTCCTACTCTCTGCCCCTCTCTTCTCGCGCTCTCCTGCTTGCTCGCTCGCTCGTTTGTTCGTTTGTTCGCCTTGCTCACTCTCATCACTCCTTTCTGCTCCTTCTTTTGATTTCTCCTCGTCTTACTGTATCTTCCCTCTCGCGTCACTCGTTCATATTCTCTAATTGTCTCAACTTGGTGGCGATGCACCTAGCATTCTTGGTCTAATATGAGACTTTTCTCAACTGTCTCATGGCACCCAGTTCAATCTCGGTAAGTCGCCATTTTGATTGGTTCAGTTCACTCTTATCCATCGCCCCCGGGGTAGTTAAGTCGACCCTTTCTCTTGACGCTCTCACACTCTCTCGTCTCTATCGTCTTTCTCGGCCGTCCTTGGTTAGCACCGCGGTGGACCTTTTACCTTACGTAGTCTACTTACTTGACTCGGGCTCTTCCCCTGACCATTGACTAGGTCGTCTTCCGTCAACTTTTCCTACTCACGCGCTGGTCTCACTGTATCTGCCGACCATCTTTCTAAATTTCCATTGGGCGCACGTCCGCTGCAATCCGACTTCTGCTATCCACTCTTTTGCTCTTGATTGCCCACCATCACCTTTTTTTTTTCTCGATTTGTTTCGAGACAATTCACTCGCCAACCTTTGCTGCAAGTGCTCCTCAGCCTCAATTCTGTTTTGAACGGCTACACTCGATAATTCCCCGATCGCATAAACCCCCTCTCCCCCCTCGCCTTTGTGAAGGTGCCTGCTCTGGCGTCATCGCCTGGCTTTCCTGGTGACCGACGCTTCGCTGCTCGTCCCATATCCTGGCCTACTGCTCCGCCCAATAGATCCACGTTCATTCTGCGTCGGAAGCCCTTTCTGTTCAGGCTGACTGGACGATGTCGTCCTCCGGTATGAAGTCGCCCATAATGCTCCTCGTCTATCGCGTTGGGCACTGTTCCTCTTCCCTTCCTTCCGCTCCCTCACGAAGTTACTGACTCAAGGGCAATAGCTGCTGCGGTCGCACCTGCGGCGGCAGCAACTTCCGCTAATACTGCCGCCGCCGCTGCCGCTACCTCGGCCGATACTCAACCGGAAACGCCGACACAGACTTCAGTCCCAACATCTTCAACATCGGAATCACCCACAACCCAAGTGCCAACGACTACCGAATCTTCGACATCATCTTATACCTCTTCAACATCATCATCTTCGACGACCACAATAGCCCCGGCGGAACCTACGACGACGAGCACCTCATCGCACACAACATCAACATCGACAACGTCAACCTCATCCTCATCGTCAACGACAACAGATCCTGTTCCTACCAGCACTTCTGCGTCAGAAACTAGCCACACCGTCGATGTCGTCACAACTGTCGTAACACAAACACCTACCAATGGCTCTACGGGAGTAGAAACCCTCACTATAACCTCGACGGACACATCGATTCCAACAGCCACTGCGGGGACGGCGGCGGACGGGGCTTCTATCACTGGAAGCGGCTCATCGGCTACAGGGACTTCGAAGAGTACCAGCAGCGGTAGCTCTTCCGGACTTTCAGCAGCTGGCACGATAGCAGTCGCAGTAGTTGTGCCTGTCGCATCTGTGGCTCTCATCGTCTTGGCTGCCCTCTATTTTTGGAGGAAATGGAAAGCGAAGAAGGCGGCAGAGGAGGAAAGAAGAAAAGAGGTAGAGGAATATGGCTTTAACCCGAATAACGATCCATCCCTTCCACCTATCATGGGCGGAAGTGCTTTTGAGCCCAAGGATGATACTTCCGGGTATCGCGGGTGGGGTACCACGTCAGCAGGCCGGAAAGCATCGACCAATCTTTCGAGTAGCGCTGGGGTCGGGCTAGCTATGTCTGAGGCCGGAAGCGCGCCTGGGTATCACCATGCCACTACTCCGAGTGACGGGACTATTCAGTACTCCGAGGGCCAGGGTACGTTAGGCGAGACTGAACCGATCGGGGTCCTTGGTGCTGCTCCAGCAGCCGCGACAAACACTCGGAACGTCGATATTCATCGTGGTCCATCAAATGCTTCATCTGCATACTCTGCAGCCAACCGATCGGAGGCCTCGGACGAAAGCCATATGTCTGCCACACACCCTGCCGGTGGCTTTTATGACGATAATCCATATTATAGCGATATTCAACCGCAGTATGGGGCTTATGGTGACGGTCCGTACGGCGGTGCCCCCCCGGTCATTCGAGATGTTCAAGCACGGCGTAACACCCGGATTGAAAATCCCGCTGTGTTTCCCCGACAGGGAAATGCCGGTATTGCCCAGAATTTCTAGGTTCAGACATTGTACCTTTTCTTTCTCACCTAGCTACACACCTTTCCAGCCTGTATAAGGTGCTTTTCAACCTCATGCGGTCCTTACAAGTGGGTTGACTTTTATGCCAAGAAAATGGGGGATCAAGAATCAAGCATCGCCTTGTCTCTTTGCCCAAATTAACATTCCTTTATCGAAGATGCCAATTCTCTCAACCTACAAGGGACTGCATCAACATTCGAAATCACAAATTCCTGCGATCTTGCAAAGGTCGCCAACGTATCATCATCAGGCTGGCTTGTCTTGCCTTCTTCTATCTTTCAATTATATTTTTACACTCTTTCTGTTGAAACTATATCGGCCATGTTTTTGCTTACTATCACTGTTCTCTGTGGTGCTCACTTGATTCCCCTTGTCGATTTGATATCTGAAAATCCTTCTCAGTTCACACTTGCAACCTGTACATTCATGACAATTCCACAGCTACCCCCTTTGACATTGCATTTCAGAAAGGCTACTGTGTTGTTTTCCTACCCCCCCCGGTCAATATATTTTTCCTGTTTCTATGGTTGTCACTCTTGCTCTGCCTAGGTAAATTTTGCTTAATATGGTCTGGAATTCTATTGGCTCGATTAAAGCTGCAACCTGTGTGCCTCAACCGCAAACTCAGTATGTGACAAGCCTGTAGCTTTCAACATCGTTCAAGTAGGGGCAGTTGTGATTTTGGGGGGGGTTCCATTGCCATAAATAAGTCTCCTCATACTGCCCATCATCCTCGGCATCCTTACCGTCGAATGCGGCAGGAAATGTGGCTTCATATGTCTAGAACATGTTGGTTTCACCTTAAGCTCGATAGTTGGTGCATCCTGGTAAGCAACAAGGTATGCGATATTCCCGAAGTATAGCATATCAAGATCTCCGTTGGATGATCCGCCACAAGGGAAGAGCAATAGCCCGCCGTCTAGCATGCAACCGGAATCACAACCAGAACCAGGCGTTGTTCTTAGGGAGCTGTAGAGAGCGTGGTCGATTCATTGTTTGCGAGGCACCGAGTTACTGCTCCATTAGGCCGAATGCGACCAAGTTCCTTTTTATTATGCAGTGCACGCCAAGGATCGGCCGCCGGCCAGAAAAGAAAAAAGAACGGGGGAGATGAAACCAAAAAGGGAATAGCATGTTTACTATGTACGTACTCTGTACTCTACTCGGTAATAGAAAGGGAACGAAGTACTGTACGTATGGCATAATTATATGTACCGCACAAGTAGCTTGGTAGACAAAATGGCAGAAAAGTGGCACAAAGCAGTGCGGTGCACGTGTCACCGCCTAGGAACTGGCCAAGAAGGGGACAAGTCCATCGGTTTTCATTCAGACAAATGGTTGGATTACTTGGTCCTACATACAGTACCAGTACCGACCTACTTAAAAGGTGTTGTATTCACCCTACTGCACTCCGTGCTATGCGTAGTAGGTTCAGCAGGTGTATGATCATTCAAGGAAGGTTGATGGACACTCCACTGCATTGCATCCGCGACGGGAGACTGAAAGAACGTGGGCATCTTGGAAGCGGTGATTGGGCCGGGAACAGCTACCCAGAGCTCCCCACATCTCCTACTAAGGGAACTTATCGATTAATGCAGTGATGGGTCATTGATTGACTTCAACCCTTCACTTTGACCGTTGACTTGACATTGGCCGGTCAACAACACCACTCCGCCGTGCGCCTCCCCCCGGCACGAGTCCTTTCTGATCTTCTCATTCGCAAGTGCCGAGCGACTTTTAGGAGTCCCTACCAAGCACTGTACTAATACCTCAGGGCCCAGACTTACCTGGTTCTTAGACTCCATACGGTAAGTGAGTAACTAGCAGGTCCAAGCTACTACCTACCTCCTACCGTTACTGATTGAGGAAGCAGCAACGATTCGCTTTCGTGGGCCCTTCCTTCTCCTACTCCCCTCTCTCTTTACTGCTCCTTCCTCTCTTGTCTTCTTTTTCGCTTTCCCCGTGCTCCCTCCCGAGGTCAGGTGTGAGTGCCCCCCCCCCTCGCCTTGGTTCCAGTGCTTCTGGCCCTTCAGACGGGAGCCCTTCAAGCCTACCTACTTCTTACGTACTTCTTCTACCCCAAGTTGGTAGTAAACGGCCATTAGCACGGAGCACAGCTGGTACCACTGCTGCTTCTGCGACGGTCATTTGGTGGTCTGTCATTCTTTGGGACTAGACAATCGTCCGATTGAAACAAGTGCCGCTAAGGTTCACTCACTCTCTCTCTGTCTCGGTTCCCCATTATCATTGTCCGTCGCTCGTCTTTCCACCTCCGCCCCTACCCCTCTCGCTCCTCCCCCTCCCCCTTCTATTTCCTTTCTCTTTCTCTTCCTTCTTGGTATATCCCGTCACTGTTCCTTCGAGTGGAGGGCATCCCCCGAAATCGCCTCCATCAGCCACTGCTCTTCGAGCTCGGGGTGACCGACATATTCGTGCTTGCCTTCTACTTCACCTATCTCTTGGCTTACGAATATTGTTATAGCTTGTGTTGTGCCGCTTGATTCAGCATCGCCCGGCACTCCAGTGCATCAAAGGCCCTTCCAAGCCATCGCTACGTCCTGCGCAGCGCAGCGCAGAGTCTTTTAAGATGTAAGGATCCACCTACGAGTCTGATGCCCTTTCCTTCGCCCCGCGCCCTTCCCTGTGCCGACCCTGATGATGCGGGAAAAAGGAAGTTCGGCAAACAAATTCAGCGCAGACAGCTCGATCTCCCTGAATATGCTGCAAGCTTCGTGAATTATAAAGCGTTAAAGAAGGTCGGTCAAGCCTCTCCACTTGCTTTGCATAATCCACTTCCCCACTCTGCGTGCTGCTTTGAGAGCTAGTTTGACTGAATCACCTGTGATAGCTCATCAAACAATTGAGCGCCACGCCCACCATCCCGGCACAAAGCGTCGCAGGTGCAGCGCAAGATGTTCCTGAGGCGCAAGCTGCCCTGCGGGCGAATAAAGAGGTGTTCTTCTTTCGACTGGTAGGGATACGTGCTGGACTTGGCCGTGGAGACATTCTGATTGACCGCACAATCCAGGAACGGGAGATTGAAAAAGTCAATGCCTTCTATCTACAGAAGGAAGCCGAGGTACGTTGATGCCATGTAGTGTTTTTTGTGACAACCATGGGAGACTGATGGCAGCACATAGTTCTCACTCCGGCTGAAAACCCTAGTCGACAAGAAAAGGGTCATTCAATCGCGAGCAGTGACAAACTCCAAAGCGCCCGCAAATTATGTCTCGCTGTTCGAGGGGTTTCAGCAATTCGATGGTGATCTCAATAAATTACAAGTGAGCTTTGACTTGGCATTGCGGCTGCACATGATTTATTCTGACAAATCGTCAATCTTTCGAAGCAATTTGTTGAAATCAACGAGACGGCAATGTCGAAAATTCTGAAGAAGGTGCGTCTCCAACTGGAAACTGCGCCCATCTGCGATTTAAATCAGCTAACCATGTAGTCATAGTGGGATAAAACTTCCAAGGTCTGGACAACCTGATCTTTCTTTAAGTTCCTTTCTCCGTCGTGGCGCAGTCGCTGCATTCAGCCTTGTACTACCATGCTTTTGCTTACATGTGCGGAATTTCTAGTCTCGCATGAAAGAATTATATCTTCACCGAGCTGTTGAAGTACAGCCATGCTTCAATAGAGACGTTTTGCGAGATCTGTCGGACCGAGCAACAACAGCACGGCTGGAGCTAGAAGCATGGGCGGAAGGCGAAAATATTCATTTTGATACCATTCGTCCAGTGGATAGGAGTGCAGCCTCGCAATCGTTCGGGCCAGATGAGGAAGATCTCGATCTACAAATCCTGCAATCAGCCAGTTCAGGGAACCTTCAGGCGTTACGTGAATGGACAGCAAAGTTACAATCATCCCCGGACGCTTCAATTCGTGCCACTCGCACCTTCCTCGCCGCCATCAATGAATTCTCTGACGAAGTGCTTGCAGTGCTCCTGAAAAGTGGCCTGGTTGACATAAATGCTGAAGATGATATCAATGAACGCAACTGCCTGCACGAAGCAGCCATTTCCGGTCGGGAATTTGTTCTCAAGGCAGGACTAACAGCAGGAGTCGATATTTCCAGATGTGATGTCTACGGTAGATTGCCTCTACACTACGCCTGTATGCATGGTCGGGTAGAGATGGTACGGGAACTGCTGAAGGCCGGACCTCATACAATTGATGTGATGGACCATGACAATTTCACGCCCTTGATTCACAGCATTGTTAAGGATCAGCTGGCCTGCGCGGAGCAACTGCTTTGCAACAATGCCCGCATCGACCCAAATACCGAGTCGGATCATATCCCCCTGAATCTCGCCTGTCAGTATGGATCAATTCCAATCGTCCAAATGCTGCTAGAACGCGATGCGAGGCTGCTTCCCGATGCAGAGGGCTTGTACCCCCAACACATGGTGGCACGAGCTTCCCAGTCACCGCAACTGCTCCTTCTCCTCAAACAACACGGAGCTAACATGGACCAACGTGATAAACTGTACCAATGGACACCTCTATTTCATGCAGCCAGCGAGGGCTGTGTGGATTGTTTACGTACGCTTCTGGAACTGGGCGTTGATGCCGGTGCTGTGGATGAGAAATGTCTTGCCGCAATGTACTACGCCGCGTGGGAGGGCCATTTGGAGTGTATGCTTCTGCTTTGGTCCCATAGCATAACTTTACAGTCTCCGCAAAAGCCTCTTGGGTTTCTGAACGGCGTGAAACTGCAAGACTCGGGTCATGATTATGCTTCTGGTCTGAATGATTTGACAGATGCGGATAACATGGATATGGCGGATGGCATCCCTGATCTGTCCCTCCCGCCACCAATCATACCCTTGAGACGGTATGGTCACAACTTCCTGGATAAAAAGGTTTTCATTCAGATCTTGTTTGACCCAGGGAGCACTGGCTCGATTCTGTTCGATCAAGCAGGTCGGCATCCTGCTGCACGCCTGACCATATCCTCCAAGCTCTCCGATCTGATTCCACGTACCATAATGCTCCCTATACAGGAAGACTCGAGAATGATATCCTTCCATGTTGACAACCTTGACACCTTCGCCGTTGATTTCGAAATTTTCCCTACTTTCGGGTCTAAAGTGATTGCGAAGACGGTAGCGCTTCCCAATATGTTCAAAGCGGAAAGCTCCAGCACTGGTACATGTTCCCTACCACTATTTGACCCCAGGCTACGATCTATTGGTCAACTGCGGTTCAACTTTCAAGTAATCAAACCATACCACGGCGACCCGCTAGAGATTACCCACTTCGCAACATATTGGAAGGCGACTAGTGCTATTGATCATGAACACAATGGTCTCGTCACAGGCTCTAGTTTGTCCGGTGATCACATTCAGCTCTTTGTGCAGTTGACCCGAGACCGGGTCCCTGTTCTTTACCCCCAGTTCGCGATCGAGTATCATGGCATTGAGATACCAATCTGTCAGCTTACCTACGCCCAGTTTCGAGCAATTGGCGTCGAATGCGGTGTGGATCATCTCGAAATGCTCCGGTTTTTACGGGTGTCTGCTTTGAACGACTTAGCCCAAGCTCATCGTCAGCTAGCTTCCTCATTTCTGTCTTTGCGAGACGTTTTCCATCATTTACCGCTCAGCGTCAGCGTCAATTTATCCGTGCTATACCCGTCGGCGATGGAGGAGCGTGCATCACACATGGCTTCCCTGCCGGACGTTAATACTTTTGCGGATGCTATTCTCACAGAAGTTTTTGACCACGCTCGAATCGCGCGCGACCAGAGCCCTGATATCATGCGTTCTGTGGTCTTCACTTCTTACAATCCCAATATCTGCATTGCCTTGAACTGGAAGCAGCCCAACTGTGAGTCAGGCTCTCAATTCCTTCTTAATTTCTCCTGAGAAGTACGCTGATGTAGCTCGCTTTTTGAGACCCTGTTCTACTCTGCAATGATCTTGGTCAGATTCGGGACTTAGCCCGTGATGTCAACGCACTTCCTGATGTTAACAGCAGCGGACGAGCTTCGATGTCCATTAAGGATTCCGCCCGAATAGCGCAGAGCAACAACTTCATGGGATTAATATGTCGGTCTAGCCTACTGGTATGTATTTGTCTTGTCATGTGCTTGCCTCCCCAACCATTTGGGTCGACTTTTCACGCTAGGGACTAAAACTCGTTGTCTGTAGAACGTTGTGCCCGCCTTGGTGGATACAATAAAGGAACTTGGCCTCGTGTTGGTGGCAGATACTTCGGACGATGCCAACCAACCTGACAGAATGGACGTCTTGCAAACTACCGATCCTGTGGGTGTGGCGGATTGGGCATATCGCATGCCAGATGGTGTCAACGGTGTCATGAAAGCCAACGGCATCCTAAGGTTCAATGATACAATTGATATGTGAACTGGTAATCGACTCTCTGGCATCCTTGGCCGCCTTCCCCATGCAACCTTGCATCTCGTTCACTTATCGTCGTTAAGGATGAACCCATTTCGAGACAAACACGGGCAGCGGCAGATTATGATCTCCTTGCCATCTTCATGTCTTCATGTATTCAGATCTGTGTGTCGCCGCTTCTGATGATTTGTACACGTTGACATTTCTTTCTCTGCCTTATTTGTTGTGGTTGTCTGCATGAAACCCATCGCCTATGGTGCCTTCTCATTCACATCTCTGAGTCAACTTTCTTTGGTGGCTAAGTTCTGACGCGAATGTTGATTGCTCAATGTTTGAGGCGTGGAATCTTCTGTCCCAAATAATTAAATATACCAGATAGTGTACAATTATCTATCATGTCATATCTAGCATGACCGAACGCTATGCAGCAAAGAAAACGGCGGATGCTTGTGTGTATCCGCCAGTCCGACTGATGTTCACAAGAAATCGCAGGATCTTACATGCCCCTCGGTCTGCCTTTGACAATATCATAACCCCACTGTCGCAGAGCTTTGACAACTTTAGGGGTAATGGCTGCTGTCAAGGGTACTCGAATAAAGATGAGACTCTTGTGAATCGCGTAGGCAAGTGCAAGTTGTGTCCATAGACCTGGAAAAGCCATGGCAGTTAGTCACTGCCAAACCTGAATGAGTGAAGGGCTTAACATAAGACACTTACTAGCATTTTCGCCGTTACCTTGCGCCTGTGCCGCACCTTCCCGAGTATCCGTGTTGGTTGTCAAGCTCTTGTCCTGTTCCGAGTCTGCATTGGCACCCTGCTTGCTCGGCCAGACAGCATCCACCGCTCCCTTGACAGACTCAAAAATGACGTGCTCATAGTAGCCGATTCGCTCTACGCCCAGCAGACGAACAGCGGCGAAACAAATCGGAAAGTCCATGGCCGACAATAGCAAATACACCCACAAGGCGGACCAGCCATACTCTTTCGACAGGTTACGCAACCGCTGCGACAGTGTAGCGCCTGGTTTTGGTGTTTGCGCCGCGTGTCTTGCGCGGGACGACTGGAAGAACCGGCGGAATGGTTGTTGAGGTCGGTAACAATTAGGAAGTATGGTGCCGCTAGTAGTACCGTGAGCCTGCTTCCATTGAGGGAAGATCGCCCGCCGCTGGAGAATTGACGTGTGCGGTGCGGAGGATCGAAAGGCGCGAGTGAAGGCAATAGAATTCGTTGCAGATGATGTTTTCGGGATAGCCAAATTTCCTCTGGCTATGCCGGGAAGCTGAAAGAGCAAACCTGACAGGAAAGGACGACGTGGCTGCATTTTCAGAATGAGGTGACTGGGCGCGCAGCAGGCTAGGCGTCCTAGAAAAAAAAAAGCGGAATTGAAGATTGCTGTCTGATGACGTTCCGGGCGCAGATAGTGAGAAACTATCGAGGTAAGTAGTTGATATTTATTCGCTACTATAAGCAATCTATCCCGGTTTATCGGCGTGCCGGTGCATCCGGCCTCCGATGCCAGCCCACCAGGTGTTTGACCGACTTGGCCGCCAGGAATTTTGCATGAAGAGGCTCTGTATGTATGGTATTTTGAATGTATGCCCAAGTACGGAGTACTCGGTAATTACTCCGACGAACTGGCGAGAGTTGTTCAGTACCGGAGCATCTCTCTGCCTGGCGCAGCCAGGCCGCCGGGGCTACTCACCGCCTTCGAGGTTGTCTCCGCAAGCCTTCCAGAAATCTCGGCTGGGAAAAAGGACGACGACCTCCATATCACGGCTTCGCGATACCACCACAAGCCCCTGCTCCCGCTCTTCCCGTTGGTTGGCTAAGCTTCGCCATGTCGCCTCGTCTTTTCGGGCAGCTGGCTCATATTCCCTTTCGCTCCATCCGGAGCCCTCGTTCCGCCGTCCATGGTCATGTCCCCGTTCGCACTTTCGGTATCCGCTCATTGAACCCCCCGAAGACCTCCCGCTTCGATATCGGTCCGGGTCTACCTGTTTTGAAGTCGACTCCCACGGCGGCCTTGGAGCGCAAGGCTAACACGCTTCCCCTGCGCACTGGTGCGATTGCGATCAAGAAAGGAATGACCGGTCTGTACGACGCGACATCCGGGAAACGTATCGCTTGCACCGTCCTCCAACTAGATCGAGTTGAGGTTGTTTCGCACAAGACGCTGGAGAAGCATGGTTACTTTGCCGTCCAGATGGGCGCTGGCTGGAGGAGGCCTGCCAACCTGACCAAATCGCTATTGGGTCACTTCTCTGCCAACGGGATCTCGCCGAAGCGCCACATATACGAGTTCCGGGTGAAGGATCAGAGAGGCCTCTTGCCTGTCGGAAAATTGGTCAACGCCGACTGGTTCAAGGTGGGCCAGTATGTTGATGCGCGATCAAACTCCAAGGGAAAGGGATTTGCCGGTGTGATGAAGAGACATGGTTTTGGAGGTCAAGATCGCAGTCACGGTGTCAGTTTGACGCACCGTTCGCTTGGTTCCGCAGGTCCCAGTCAGGGCGGTGGCTCCCGTGTTTACCCCGGCAAGAAGATGGCGGGAAATATGGGAAATGAGCAGAACACAGTGCAGAATCTTAAGATACTTCAAGTGGATCAGAAGAATGGAATTGTCGTGGTTAATGGTAAGTCACATACCAGCCGTCCCCGGCAGGCCTTTCGACCTGCAGTTGAGTGAATGTAGGGCGACATCGAATACTGATCATTGTGTATCTCTGTACTCTAGGTTCCATCAGTGGCCCCAAAGGTTGCGTTGTCAGAATACAGGATGCTTTGAAGAAGCCTTGGCCGAAAGTCAAGCTGGTCTCTAAATCATCTTGATAACCAATTCGAAAGCATTCTCCCTCCGCCCAACTTCCGATTGCCAATCTCCCTCACCGTTCTTTCATCCGTGAGATGTACCATAACACCATACTATTTTTTCCTCCATAGAGCGACATTTTTATTTGACATGTAAATGATATCCATATCAGATCAGATCTCTTTCATCCACTCAAAACTGCTGCTTCCATATCGTTCCTGCCGTGCTATGAACCTCGATGTCGAAATCCGAAAGAGTGGCGAAGGAAAGAACAGAGAAGCCCTCCAATGACCGAACGCCTGAGCACAATGCACATAGATCTCAAAATATCTACAAATAAAGATTCCCAGACACCGTGTACCACATAGAAAATACAATGTACGCCACAACCTCAGCATTATTTCCCTAGTTGCTGTGCCGAAACGGGTCGATATCACTGTCAAGGAGTTGCACCACTGTTCCGTCTTCTGTTTCCAGGCTCCATTCTTCTGTGCAAAACTGATGCAATTGCTGGTTAGCTTAAGTTACATTTGCCATTCGAGGGGAAAGAGGTCTTAGTTGGGGGACGCACATAGCTCATGCGGTTGGGTCTAATACTCCGAAACCTCATCTTGCCTTGCCCTTTGGTTCCCTTGACCCAAAATGAGATGTCAATGCGTCCATGTAGCTGATTCATCTCACCACTGATCCATGGGATTTTTTGGGCGAAGTAGATCTCATTCCCTAAAATCTCACGGGCTCTCGGCGAGGTCCTCAGGGCATACAGTGTGCTGCTGACCACGCTTGAAGATGACTTCTGATAATTGAATATACCCAGCATAGCCGCGCCCACAACAACCGCGAAGAGTGGCAGTGTGCGGAGCCAGCGGCTCTCGCTGTTGACAGACGGCAATTCTCGATCTGCTCGACGCTCCATGAGGGGGCCCGAATTGGAGCGCGGGGCAGGGATCAAGCTGCGACGAGGAGGAAGAGCTCGGCGACGAGCGCCAGGCAGTTGTGGGACGCCAATGCGCCGTCTTGCAGTGGGTAACAACATTCTCAAGACAGTAAAAATCCCGCCAGATAAATGTAGTCTTTTATTTCATCGACAGGCCTAGGGTTGGGAGGCGTAAAGAGTTCTGAGATAACTGCGAGAGGGTGTTTGGCCTCGGGAGTTTTGGACAGCGGGCCCAAAAGTCGCAAGCTTAGCAAACGGAGCAAACCAGTTTACTCCGTACAGATGATGGCTATTGACACCGGTTGAATTTCTATTGCTACCGGTATTGATATTCGAAAAGACAAGTCCACGGTAAAAATCGTCTCACATTAGGGATTACTGAGGTTTTCAGAGGCCGAAGGCATTACTAGTAGGGCCCTTTATTAGGGAGTCTTTTTCTTTCATTCTTTTCATTAGGATTATGAGGGTCTATATTAAAATTGGTATGTACTGTACATGATTATACGGGGAATCACATGGCTTACCGCCTACTGGGGAGGGCTTAGTTCCAGTAGCGTAAGAATTACAGTCGGTGCCAATCATTGGATAGCGATCGACTATCCTCCGTACTGTACACCGTACTAGATAGGTAAAGTACTATACCGAAACATTAAGCCGGTTGGTTGTGTAATGTACTGTATTTCAAGCAACACATCAGAAGTGAGCCTGGCCCCGACCTCACTGAGTCGCTGGATCACTCTGTAGCCCATTGAAGGTGTCTCGAGTTTCCCTCTCATAACTGGGTCCTTCCGAACTCTGAGAAATGATGGCGTCTGCCAGGCTTCGGCGCGCGTTCCGCTATCCAGATGATCTGGGAGATGATGAGTATGCTCGCGAAGAGTTGGATGAAGAAGGTCTGTGTGATCGATTGGCCAGCGAGGAAGGCTGGCTTACAGCTTGCGACGCTTGAAATTCACTAATAGACCTGCAGAGCAAGAGTGCGTAATTCAGACCCTCAAACTACTGAACGACAAGCGAAATTCTGAATATAGTGTAATGAGGTTCCCTTCCTAATCATGGCAAGTCGAAGCGTGGCGGACACCGCTAAACAACATGGTCATTCATGGTTTAGATTATCTTCGCCGCCATCCCCTTCTTGTCCGCGGCCATTTATCTTCTCCCACTGCTCTCCAGTTCATCTGCCACTATTGACCGGTGCGTAGCCCTTGTGAGTGTACTCTCTTTGTTGGCAACCGCCCACATCATGAGGTATCTACCGCATCGACGTCACGATAGCAAGGGCAAAAGACGCATGGTGGACTCGAATGGCCACACCCAAGCCCGGCAACTTCTTCCACTCGTCAATGCAGCGAGCTGCGTATCCTTAGTGCTAATCCACTTTGTATTCACATCCAAAGAATCGTGGTTCAGCACCGAGCTGATTACATCCTCGGTTCCTGGAGGTTAGTACTTCGCCAGATTTCCCGTACCTGAGTCAAGACTGGTGTCGCTCATTCTACCTAGCAATGTTAGCGACTGTCTGGGTCGCGAGCAGGGTCATGTCGTCCGTTGACATCAAGGATCTTGAGACTCTTCGATACAATTACAAAGGGGCCTAATGCGCCCCGCTAAACCTATTGTTTCGAGAATGAGGAAGCATTCCTGGCTGGCCGACCAAGAGGCAACACCTACGAGCGCATCCACTAGGCAAGCATGACACTGATGTCTGTTTCTTATTGCAAGCTTGAGAAGCATAATAGTTGTCTTTTTCGCGTTATCAACAAATCGGCTTAAAAGAAACGAATACCACTCGCTTGAATGACCAATATCAGAACCCAACTTGCTACCAATGTATCCTACATGTGAAAGTTCTCATGTCCGCTCATAAATTCATATTAACTAATTACCGGACGGTGTAGACATTCCACCCTCAGGTAGCAGCAATCTCTCCAGAGCAGGATCTACCGGAAAGCCTTCATAGTCTGTCGAAGACTCTGGGACTGTAGAGGACTCCTCTAGTTGGATGCCCTGCCCAGGTGCCAGCTGATTGTGCTGTTCATCCTCATTCTGGTGATGCTGAGGCTGATGCTCCTTCGGTCCATCGGTCTCATCTTCCGCAGCCTTCTTTAACCAGCGTAGATTCGAATGCCGGAAGTCTACAAGACTTTCCACGCTACGCGGATCCGCAATTTTCCGGGTGTCATGGCCGAGTAACATGCATGTGGGCTCGAAAGGGCGCATCGTCGGATCCCGGCGACAGGCAGCACAACTGCAAATTTTATTGCATTTAGGGCATTTCCAATCCAGAACCTCCATTGTCTGTTGCGGAAGCATGTTGAAAGCCCTATAGAGACTTCCATAACAATAGTACTTGTCACAATGTGTGCACGAGGCAAGTTTCCACAGTGGTTCAAGATACCTGCAAATGTGACACCGACCAACCTTCTCTGTTTGATCTCCCCGAGACATTTTTCGTCTTTTGCGTGCAGAGACGATCTCCTCCGTGTCACTATCTTTCCCTTCCATAGGTTCTGACTGGACGATTGGTTTGCTGATATCGACCCAAGGCCGCCTACTTAGCTCTTTTTGGCAAATCTCAGCCAGCGTCCTTTTGTTCAGTCGCTCTCTTTGTGTATCCAAAGGCAAATATGTCTGCTCAAGTTCTGACTTGGCTTTGAGGAGTTGTTGCCTCCAAGCCTCATGCTTCGCTTCGAGTTCGTTCCAATCGAATTGCTCAGCCCATTTGAGGGCTGATATGCAAAGACAGCTTCGACCCATCACATAACATTCCATGCAAATGTCGTACGCGTCGTCCTCATCCGAAATAGATGGAGCAACGCAATTCGGACAAGTGAGGAACCTGTTAAAGATATTTCCTCGACAGTAGGAGCATGTGATATTGCTATCATAAGGAATAAACTCGACATCTTGTCCGGGTAAATTGCTGCCGAAGCATTCAGAAAGAAGTACCTCATTGTACAAATTGAAGAGCTGCTGGAAATCCTTGATCAGTTTCTTGTAGGTCGGGCGATTTATGTCGGATTTCTGGGCTTTTTTAAGGACGGCGGAGTAGTGTTCGAGCGAGTAGAACACGATGGACTTGTTTTTATATTGTTCATCCCGGCAAACCATTCTTGCGTGAGGTAGAGCTTCATGTAAGGCCTTGTCCAAGGTTTCCACGGTGGTCCGATTCCAAGCAACCTTCATTGTCCTCGTTCCGCGGTTCCACACCTGATGTGCTGCTAGAGGCGGTATAAGAATGAAATCTCCTGGTCTCTGTTCGACGACGTATGTTTTGAATGGGGCTGCTTTCCAAGCGTTTATCTGTGCGAAATGGTCCTCGATGTTAATGTCATGACCAAGCGTGGACATCCAGTAATTCGAGACAGCACGGCGGTCCTTGCTCTCCGTCATGAACCAGATAGAAGATCCTTGCTTAGTATCTTTTCCATATTCAGCTGAACCATCAGATGCTTCAACCATTATATTCTGGCCGAGGCTGCCACACATCTCTTGATGGGCTGGTGTATAGGTTCCCTCATGGCCGATGTAGCACATAAGATTCTCTGCACGTGCGTTTAGAGGAAGACAGCTCATCAAATCACCAGCTCTGGCCACCGGAGCGTTCGAGTGGGCCTTGTTGAGATAAAAGACCGGCGACGGTATGACTTCTTTCAATTCATCATGCCATTCAGGGGGGCAATCAATATCTTTCAGATATATCCGCTGCCGATCAGGGTCTTTGTAGTTGTATGGTGTCCATTGATCAGTAAGAAGCGGCATATTTTTAAGATAATGTCCCATCGTCAGAGGCAAGTCGGTCTTTGTACTTAAATTCCGCGCATATTCCGCTTGACACGACACATGTTGTCAGCTGGGAGTTCAAGACTCCTGAGCAACCAGGGTTACTCACTCTTTGCAGAATAATGGCCCCTGAGCCACTTCTCGGAGAAAAAGGTATGATTCAGCCTTTTCTCAAAACCCTCAATGACCAACGGTCTGCCCAATCGAACAACCTGAAGTGCAACAAGTTTCTCAAAATCATCCAAGTCATTCTGATCGATAGCATCGCAGTGAATCCTGGTAACAAACTCGAAGTTCGGTGTCGATTCCACTAAAGCCTCTAGGTCTAGGTCTGGGGAAAGCGGTTCAAAAGCCGCGCGAGGACGCTGTGCGGGCATTCTGAAAGACGATCGGGATATGTTGATATGGGTCTCAACTATTCAGGGAGGGGGAAGGAAGAAACTGGACATGAAGATGTTGGTGGCATAGGTAGACAAGTCGCATATTCACGAAGTGCTTAAAGCATGTTTTTTTTGTTTTTTTTTATTTTTTTTTATTTTTTATCTTTTTTTAAAAAAAAATAGCAAAGATGCAAGGTCTGGTGTTACGGACGAGAAGTATGGCTCAATTCAGCTCCAGCACAAATGAACAGAGCTCAAGAGGTCCTACCCTTTTTGATCACACGTGGATGCAGCAGAAGTGGACCCTCTTCGTGTAAATATAGAAAGAATGGGCAAAGGCTGTCGCAGATGACGAAGAGCAAAAAGAAGATAACAAGCGCGTCGTACTGCACGCGCGGGAGGATGACTGATGTACGGAGCGGACCGAGCGGAATGGACTTCTCTCTAGGCTTGCTTGAATTTGTTGCCGAAATTATCAACTTACACACCCAGGCGATGAACTCAGGGACGAGGACCCAACCAGCCAATCTTGTTTACCCTTCCGTCTCCCTCCCTTTGCATCTCCTTGATTCCGTGTCTTGGTCGAGCGGATTTGTGCCAGAGTCAAATTCCTGTTATGACTGACTGATAACAGCCATCTATTTTGTTCTCAAATTTCCCGATAATGACTGCAATCGCAAATATGCCATTGTCTTGCTTACCCCTGCGCTACCTGAATCAAATGCGTCGATGCTTCGCGGGGCGAGCCACCTCTCTTCACCAACCACTTCCATCCGCTTTCTATCATGGCTCTCGCTCTTCCCCATTGCCCCAGAATAGCCCAGCAGCGACCAATGTCTTTCTGGCATCCCGTCGAAGATCAAATTATGACACGTGCAGGCTCAAAGACTCAGGCGTTTCTACCTCGCAGAGTCACGCAAGTTCGAGCTCGGTGGATCACTACAGACCACCGGAAAAGGGCTTCATAGCCTCTCTTCCACGGTCATGGATTCCATACGCGGAGTTGTTGCGCCTTGATAAACCTACAGGCACATACTATCTTTTCTTCCCTTGTCTATATTCCACCCTTCTTGCTGCATCCATGACGACTTCCACTGGCCCATTCGAGGTTGCTGGAACTGCCGGTCTATTTCTCGCCGGTGCCTTGATCATGCGAGGTGCTGGGTGTGCGATCAACGATCTATGGGACCGGAATCTGGATCCGCACGTTGCAAGAACCAAGTTTCGACCTATCGCGAGAGGGGCAATCTCCCCTAGCAAAGCAGTCGCTTTTACTGGCGTTCAACTCCTGGCAGGGCTGGGTGTCTTGCTTCAGTTTCCAACCCAATGCCTCTGGTATGGTATACCTAGCCTGCTTTTGGTGGCCACCTATCCCCTCGCTAAGCGTATCACATACTACCCGCAAGCTGTGCTTGGCCTTACATTCTCGTGGGGTGCGATTATGGGTTTCCCAGCACTGGGTATTGACCTCCTTCACAATACTCCTGCCCTGGAAGCAGCTGCTGCTCTCTATTCTAGTTGCGTCGCCTGGACAATTCTATACGATATGATATATGCACATATGGACATAAAAGATGATGTAGCGGCCGGCATCAAGTCAATTGCTCTTCGTCATGAGAAAAATACAAAAGCTGTCCTCGGTGCATTGGCAGGGGTCCAAATATCGCTGCTTGCTGCAGCTGGCGTCGTGGCTGGTAGTGGACCTATTTTCTTTGTCGGCAGCTGCGGCAGCGCAGCTCTTTCCCTTGCTGCGATGATTTGGAAAGTTCAGCTAAAGAATGTACAGGACTGCTGGTGGTGGTTCAAAAATGGCTGTCTCTTTACTGGCGGCGGTATCACTGTGGGGCTACTCCTGGAATATATCGCGCAATCCACTGGCTTCTATTATGAAGCTACAGAGTCGCATTGCTAAGGAAATTCAGAGAACGAGCCGTACCTTTGCAGGCTTTATTGACCAACTCACCCTGTAATTCTCGAACGCCTTCGTGTTTGAGCACCGATATACTGCTCCACGGCACAGACTATAGCCTCCCAATCCATCATGGCACCATTGCCAGAGTCGCCACAAGCAAGGTGCTTCTCCATGGGCCGAAGAACGGAAACCCAGCCATCCTTGCTTGAATTATTCACACCCCATTCCTTCTCTAGAATCTCAATCTGTTTGCCAGTGATGGGATGATTCCACATTGCCGTGTTCATTGCTGGAGCAACAAAGATAAGCGGCTTCTTAGTCTTCAAGTTGCCATCCACCATCCCGGTCGTATCCCATGCTCTTATCACCGAGAGTAGAAGGTTGTCGGCCATCCCCATGGTCATCTTAGCCATGGTGTTAGCTGAGAGGGGCGCAACAAGCAATAAATGCGCCCACTTCCTAAGTTCTATGTGGAGTATCGGTTCGCCACGAGTCCAGGGATTCTTCCACTCATCTTCATCTCTGTAAATAGCCTCAACACCTGGGACTGCTCGCAGAGCTTCCAATGAAGGCTGTTCCAGGCTCTGTCCATCTAAAAAGCGCTCCGCTGACTTGGTGACGATAATACGAATAGACACATTGTGGTGACGACTAAGCGCTTGAGCGATATTCGGCAATTTGATTGTAGCGACCGATCCGCTGGCCGCGAGAATTATGTGTATCTTCTCATCGTGGAAGTGTGTTTGCGCGCTCAGTGGTGGCGAAGAATATTCCATGAAGTGAGAGTCCAATGGATTTTTGTTCGAGAAAGTGCGAAATTGGGGATAGACTTGAGCCGTTTCAAATGACCTTGCACCTACTTAGTCCTTAAGGACAGTGGATCTGCCAGATCACATGATCTTGATTGGCTACGTATCCCATGATCGTCGTTGCTTGTCATCTACTCAAAGTTGATTGGTTCTATTAACCTAACAACTCGTACCGGAGTTGGCTTGTGAGCTGGTTAGTGAGCATGCTTAGCTAACGGACCGGTGCAGGAGTTCTCCGCAAAATCCGTAGACTTTCTTCCAACTATTCTCGACTGAAGCAAGTGTGCAAATAATATCTCGAAACCATCATGTTCTCTCGCATCCTACCTTCCTCGGTGGGTCCCAACAATGCTCTGACTCTATCATCTCACCAAGCTCACAGAAAAATTGCATCTTCAGGCATCCCGGCTTGTCTCCCGGCCGTCTTCAATCCAACCTCGCTCGCGAGGCTCACCTTTGTCATTCATTCTCAATGTCCGTCTCTTGTCATCTGAAACTCGGACAGCGATTGATAAGGCTGTCGCGTCTGCCCCAGTTGTTCTCTTTATGAAGGGTACTCCGGAGACTCCTCAGTGCGGGTTTTCCCGGGCCAGCATACAAATTCTGGGATTGCAAGGCGTTGATCCCAAGAAGTTTGTTGCCTTTAACGTTTTAGAGGACCCAGAGTTGCGTCAGGGTATGTTCTGAAGACTGGCTAGGTGGATGCCTGCCCAATAAGCAAGTGCAGTCAGCTAATTTTATCCCAATTTCAACTTTGCAGGTATCAAGGAATATTCCGATTGGCCCACGATCCCCCAACTATACCTTGAAAAGGAATTCATTGGTGGCTGCGATATTCTGATGTCTATGCATCAGAATGGGGAGCTTGCTAAAATGCTGGAAGAAAAGGGAGTACTGGTGGCAGCCGACTAACCACGACCAAATTATCATCCATATTGTATGTACATTGCCTTGCGCTCTGGCTTAGCACCCCAATCCAACCCGGCAGATTGTTCGTCCACCTCGTCTCACCGAAAAGAACATCAGAACCCTAAAGCTGATGTTCTATTGCTGCAACTTCACAATCCCTTCAAGAAGTTGAAACCCTGAAGGGTTGTTCAGCGTGGGGAGTTACCTTCGATACATTCCCCCTGTGTTTCCAGATATGTGCATAACATCACAACAAACCAACAATCTCTAAGTTGGGACTTCAAAGCTACGTCCAATAATCTTCTCATCTCTAATTGCTCATCGTCCGACTATCGACATTGATCTACCATCCGGGATGAGCCTTGGTGGATGCCACCCGCGGCTCACACCCTACTTGCCTCCCTCGATTTCGCTAAATCCTCAACAATTCCTTTCTCAACTTTGGCACGTTGTCTCGCCTCGTACGCCTCTTTGCTCTTCAAAATCCTGTCGACAATTTCCCCAGCATTGACATGCTGGTAGGGATGACTCGGAGATTCCTTGAATATACCCATCTTCTTCGGAGCGACATAAGGATCGTAGGTGAGGGGTATGAACGTGGTGGGGCCATGATAAACTGCATCTGGCGCACCTAGAGGCATTGCTTCCAAATACGACTGGCTTGGGGAAAAGGGAGCAGAGAAGACGACGGCATGGACGTACTAGAGGAGAATTAGCAAGATAGTTTCCGGATTTACGGACCCTGTGAATTAGGTGGGCTTCAAACTCACTCGACACTGAAGGACACATAGCCCACGCTCGAAGATGTTCATGATGGGATAGTTGAGCCCTTTCCAATGGTTTATGACGTCATCATCATGAATGCCGGCAACAACAAATGCCGGCTCGTAATCTTCACCATATTCCTGAATTCTCTTTTCCCTTATCTTAGGATCATACCAATGCTGACGGTGGCCCTCAACTCTTTCTAACTCAATGACCTGGCGCAAAAATTCAATATGACCGGAAGAAAAGAGATCAAAGCCTCCGTCAACATACACAATACGTTGTCCTGGCTTGGGTAGCTTTCCTGTGACGATCTGCTCAAATGATCCCGACTCTTCACTCGTATTTCCAAGCTTCGCTGAGGTGGAACCATTCCACATCCAGACACAGGGTCCTGGCTGTAGACCGCTCTCATCGGTTGCGTAGTCGCGAATTCTCTGCAGCAGATTCTCACCAAATTGTGCGCGTTCCTCCTCGCTACCGGAGCCTTCTTTCCCAGTAATCGTCTCCTTCACACTTCTAACGAAATGCCCTTTAGTACAGAGAAGCATGCGTCCTACAAGATCAGTTGTGGATATTCCCGGCGTTCGCTTGACCACTCGGAAACGGCCTGCAGCCTTCACGTAACGATAACAGTCATCGCCATTGCTGTCAGAGGTTATGTCATCGCCATGCACGACATACTTGCATCCATAATGTGACACCCAGGGCAGGAAAGTCACGTAGGGAGCCGAGGGCACGCAGCGAGTTACCCATCGGCATGCTTCCACTGCAGCTACTCTAGGCCATGATCAGTCAAGTTCTACAATGAACCAATGCAAGAATTAACTTACCTCTCCTCCAATTTCATCACTGTTGGGCCTTTATTCTCTAGGATGGCCTCATCGGAGTGTACACCAACATAAAGTTCTCTGCCTAGCCTACGGGCCTGTAGCATGGCACCCGCATGTCCTACGAAACTCAGCTTTCGGGAACACGGTACCAAGGAGACGTTACAGCCTCTCACCGTGGTGACTGAAGTCAAAACAACCATCCACCCATATACGGTCTTCTGAGATGGGTAAATCGTCCTGGGGATCAACCGGCCATTTTCCTTTTGGGGGAACTATGTTTTCGGACATTGGACTCGTGTTAAGGTGAATTCGTAAGTTGGAGACGCAGATGAGTAGAGAGATAGGATAGGGATTGGTTAGGAATGAGTTAGGGATGGGTTAACAAAGCAGAGCTAAATAGTTAGTCTTTCAATGCTAGTGATATAAGATCGATCGCCACATCTAGTCAACATGCGATTCCTAGCAATGAAAAGGCAATAATAGTGAGGGACAGAATGTCGCTATTTAGAGGGGTACCACGCGGAAGTGGTTATGTGGCGTACCTGAGCAAATAAGTACCTTACATAATCCGGCACCTGGTGGAGTATCTCCCATCAGCCATTGATTCTCGAATGACTTCCCCGACTTTGTAGCGGTATCAGAGGCCATGCCTGTATACAGGCAATAAGATCATTTGCAAATGTTATGTGAAGATGAGCTTGCATTATAAAAGTAAGTGTTGTCATATCACGCATCAGACTTCGATGATTCTACAATAAATCTATATCAAAGACAACAGGGAAATCTAAAGAATATCTCCACTTAGCCTCTGGTTTTGTTTTTAATATTTTTACTGTTTTATTTTGCTGTTGTAGTATCTGCTGCAGTTATTTGATTATTGTTAAAGTTTTATACTATAGACCAAAGCTGATATTTTATTCAGTATCCAGTATTATAAATTGTATAAAAGGAACTAAAGTATTTCTTTATCTATTTTCAGTTAATATATGTTTCTACTTAGTCTTTGATTTTATTTTTTTTTTAATTTTCTATTATTCTATTTTACTGCTGCAGTATCTGTGGCCGTTACTGATTCCATTATTGGTGGTGACTGTTGTTTCTGCCTGGGGTGTCACCTGCGTTATGGTGACTGCGGTTTATCTTATTACTGTCTTTAGCTATTCCAGTCTTTATGGACTATCTTTTTAATACAACTACCTACTACTTAATGAATTGTTCATAACAGTATCTGCCGCAGCTACTATACTATGATTAATGTTTTATACTATTATTAAGAAAAAGGGGTCAGTTAGGTATAGAATAATAGTAGTCTAATAAATTTAAAACTAATTCTTATTTTTTTATAGTCTAGCAAAAAAAGATTAAATATATTAAAAAAAATAGATTTATTAATATTACAATGATTATATAAAAAAAGAAAGAACTTATAAAGAACTAATTAGAATATTAAGAATTATTTATAATAATTAGACTTTTTTATATATAATTATTTTTAATAATATATAAATAATATAATACTGCTATTTTACTTATAATTTTAATTAATCTAATATAAATAATAATAGTAGATAATACTACTATAAAATTAGATTAAATTTAAATTAATATTTTATAAGTTAATATTATTTTATTTTAAAAATATACTATTTTTATATATAATAATAACAGTATAATTATATTTCATAAATTTTTCATTATTATTTAATCTTATTATTATAATTTTATTATAATTCTTATTTTATTTATATTTTAGTATTATTATAAATTATTTTCTGTTTTATTTCTACTATTAGAATAATAAATATGAATTTATATTTAATATAATTAAAATACTAATAAATAGCTATAGTTTTATTAATAAACTAAAATATTTTCAAATTTATTTATTATATTTTATTTAAAATATTTTAGAATATTAGTTAAAAGCTGTATTGATATGAACAATTTGTGTAGTGAAAGATAGTTATATTCTTCATAAAAACAAGAATACAGAAAGCCGCTATAGGCGGTAATATAGTAAATAATAGATATTAATATTATAAATAATATTCCAGACAGAAACAACAGTTACTACTAGTAAATAAATCGGTAACAGCTATAATTATCTATTTTAATAAAAAATATATTATTTTTAATATAATAAACTATATAAAATATTTAGAATATATAAAGAAGAGAATATATAAATATAATATTATTAAAGATATTAATACAAACAAATAATTAAACAATTAAACTAAAACAGAAAAATACAAATATAAAAAAATAAAAAATAATATAATAATATAATAAAAAGTCGGACCTATCAAAAAACAGAGAATAAAAAAGTCAAAATTAATTAATTTATTTTTTATAATTATAAACCAAATCGGAAGACTTAAGATTATAATTATATACTTATTAATTATATTTTAAACTATAACCGAGCTATCAGACAAAATATTTAATATATATTAATTTTCAGCTGTATTAATATATATACTTGTTAAAAATTTATTTAATTTTTTATTTAT